AGAGGTTCAGGAGAAAACGTCGCTCGTCGATGCCGACGCGTATCCAGCGAGGTGGAGGTGCGCGCTCGCCCGTGCCCGTCTTATTCCATTATTCACACGTTTATTATTATCATTATCATTCTTCGGAGCCAGCTGTCGTCCTCGTAAAACACAAATGTTGCATTCTAAAACCCTCCTGCCGAGGTGCCTTCGCGAGATGGGCTACTTTCACGTGCTCGTCTCGGCCACACACCGTCTGGATTTACGTTTTGCTTTTAGTTTATTTTTTAAGCAAAAAAAAAAGCAATTTTTTTCACGTAAGTTTGGCAACTCTAGCTTCAGCCAGGCTCTATCATCGACCGCTGGATCTCACGGTCTTGAGGGTGCAACGTACGCGTCTGTGGCACCCGTGCACGAGCTAAATTCATCACTGCGTCCTCCAAACGGATTTCACAGGAATTGGAAAACTTTTCGATGAAACTTTTTTTTGCAATAAACGGGTTCATAAAGTCGCTTGAGTTTTCTAATCCCGACAGAGCACCGACCCCTGTGGCGGGTTTCGGCGAAAGGAAATCTCGCCGGAAAAAATTGCTGTCGTCGATATTGGCGCGAGAATTTAGCGCTGCGATGAAGTTACAAGCCACCGTAGCTCCTCAGCAACAGTCCCCTCCGCTACACCGAGCACTCCTGAATGTACAGTCGCTCCGCAAAAGGGTAACCTTATATGGTGAACGCATACCTTTTACAGGCACTCAATTAAATCAAAGTAATTTTTTTTTTTGCGTAATGTATCCCGGTCGCGATGTGTACTGGAGTAATGTAGATGTTATCCGGATGTACAGCACTGGTTTATAACATGATCGCTCTCCCCCCTGCAGTGTTTACACAGTGTGTCAGCGTGGCGGAAATGGAATTATTTTTAAGACTATTTTTTTAGTACATTTTTTTTTATCAGTTAGAAACCTATACTCTTAGTTCTTTCGGTAAAGTCACGTAGGTAACAAAATGACATTAAAATAATAAAAAATAAAATAAAAATCACGACGTTTCGGAGGCAACACAAGTCTCCGTGTGTTGCCTCCGAAACGTCGTGATTTTTATTTATTTTTATTAATTAATGTAATTTTTTACCTACGTGACTTTACCGAAAGAACTAAGAGTATGAATCCTTGCAGTCACGAAAGCTTCAAATCTACAGTTAGAAACCTAACCGTCCACTGCCCTTCCCTCACAACTCAATGAATTGTCACGATTCAGGGTCATCACAATTCGATTCAAGAATCTTTTTTTTTGGTAAACATTGTGGGTGACTGAAACGAACCAAATCCATACAACAATCTGCTGCTCCTTCAGTCTGCAACTCCCTGCCCCCTAGTAATCTGTGCCATCAACTCCCTGTCTCAAGTCCAGGATCTTTTTTTTAAACTTCCTTTTTGTTCCTTAGATCTATGACTGACCGTTCTGGCATGGATTTTGTATACTTAATATTAGTTTTTTGGCCATCGTTAGTTTGCAGATTCCCTCCCTGCGATGTCCTGTAACTGCCTCCACTGTCAAAGGTCCTTGGGCTGTGGTAGTTCCCGTAAAAGAGCAGCTTAGTTCAGTGGGGCCGCACCCGGTTGTAATAAAGTCCGCGTCTGACTGCCTCTCTCCGTCGAACAAACCTGGCCGCTGTATCTGTGCAGGGTCTTGTCATGTCGTCACATTTTATTTCCTCTCTACATCTACCACTGTACTGATGCATGCGAATCAAAGCGTCGATGCTTTCACACGCTATTCAATGCGTGCAATCGCAAACTTAATAAAGGCGATATGGGATCAGCGCATCGTTAAAATCTCCCACCTTGTGTGCAGAAAAAAACGAAGCATTTCTGAAAGGTATTTAAGATTCGAAAACCATCACTTAAAAACAAACGAAAAATAATGCGGTTATAACGGCTAATCATTTGTAATTTTAAACGCCCTACATTAGCATTGGTGCATAGCACGACTCCCTCCACGCTTGCGTCCCGTCAACGCGAGCCAGCCCACACCACATGAGATTGTACTCAAATTTGGCAAAGTCTGAGTTCACACGTTATCTGATATCCCCCCTGCTGCCTTGCCAGCATCACGGTTACCAAGGTTGCCTGCGATGTTAGGAAGAGTGTATCAGAAGAGCACCGGGCGAAATTGCTTCATCACCAACATCGCACTGGTAAAGCTTTTTAAAATTTCACTAAACAATAAAAAAAGAAGTGTATTTAATGTTTAATTTTGAGCAGCAAATTTGCTAAATCCGATTTCTGTGCCGGGATGCAATAAAACACCTCGGTGTTTGGACTTGCAAAATTCTTGGCAGACCGTCGCTACCCCACCACCCACCCGCGCCCTCCCCCCCCCCCTCTAACGCTAATGTTAATCCCATCACAAAAAAAACGCTGGAACATATAACATAACATAATTACGCACGCTCCGTTCTGCCCGAGTCTAAAGAGCGGCTCCAGTGTAAACTTACAAGGAGGCTTAATTCCGGTTGCGTACGCGGTTTAATCGCACGTGGGACGGGGAGGCACGTGAGCTGAGAAAGTGTCTACTTTCCTGCAAAAGTGACTTAAGGGATGGCATTGTATTATAAGGCTTCAAAAGCAAGCAGCATTTATTTAATCACTTCGTGTCTATCTATGTGGGAAAAAGTCAAAACATTGCCGTTCTGATGTCATTAACCTGATAATGATAATCATCCGATTAGGAAATGGTGTTCAGCACATTCCGTAAGGTTTGCCAGTGAATCGCAAATCACAGCAACCTGCCAAGTTCATGATGGCAGACTAAGCCGGGCTTCACTTTTCTTAATCATATTTTTTTCATGAATGTGCTACTCGCAGTGATCGATTGTGGGAGTGATTTAAGGGCCGAGCTTTTGCGGTTGTGGTTGTTTTTATTTGTGTAAACAGGACGTTTCATCTCGTGAGACAATTCTTGGAGCAAATATTTGGATTTAGTTAATATGAAGATGAGCAATACGAGATAAGGTAGCGAAAAAAAATGAACAGGAAATATTTTTCAATGAAAACAAAAACAACCCCCATTGCATTCAAGAACATTCACAAGTTCAGAGCCAATAACGTAGACCAGTGGGGGTTCTTAACCTGGGGGTACGCGATGCCCTTTCTGGGGGTGCGTGACATGAGCAGATTTTATTTTAAAGGTAAATCATCAACACACAAATTAATTACTTATGAGATTGTAAGTACAAGTACTTTTCGATTTAAAGCTTTCGTGACTGCAGCGATTCATATTCTTGGTTCCTTTCGGTAAAGTCACATCGAAGGGAAATAAAATATATTTTCCAATATTTTATTATTCATGTAATTTCAATTATTTTATTATTTCCCTTCTACATGACTTTACCGAAAGAACCAAGAATAAACTGCCATGTTTCATCACACCCTATGTGTTTATTAGCATATATATATTTTTTACGATTGAGAACCAAAGGGGTGCAAGGCTGCAATAAGTGTTAAGAACCACTGACGTAGAGAAACACAATTTTGACCGGTGAAGAAAAAATAACCTCGCTTGGGCAGAACACGCAGCAGGAAGGCGACATTGGCCCCGCGGTCGAGGGTAATAATGGAGTGGCTGTCAAAGGAGGGAACATCCCCGATAGGACATTCACGGAGATGGAGCTATGAAGTCAGTTTTTGTGGCTCATCAGACGAATTGTCACATCACGAGACAGCGAGAGATGGCGACGGCTTGGAGAGGTCTCTTCAATCAGCGTTGGATAGATCGAGAATGATGGCGATCTACATTTTTAAATCAACCAAAGCATTGAAAAAAACTATCAATGCCAGCAACGTGGACCACAAATAAGACATGTGTGTTCCTGTGTGGAGCCGATCACGCAAAAGGAATTTTGTAGTCGGGGAGGGCACAATCTGTACTTTTTAGGAAGCGTTCCTGAAGCACAGATAAAACCACCGGAATGCCACCCGCCCCATACCAGGCACCACAACGACACCACGGGGACAGGAACGAAAAACACCGTGGGCGCAGCCAGAGGCGAGCGGATGGGTGACGCCCACTGTCCGCGCCCGCTTAAAAATTCGACCCGGGGAAGGTGCTCATCCAGTCGGTGGTGGAAATTCCACGTTCCTATGGCAGGGATGAGTCAGCGCAGCCTCCGACGTCGACTTCACGACCATACCAATACCTCGGGACGAGCGGCCGATTGCACGGCCAATTCGTGATGCGATCAACACACCCTCCCGCGGGGGTGTGTGTCACCCTTTGTTTGGGCGTGTCACAACAGGTGTCTCTCGTGTGAATAAAGGGGTCTCCAGCAAATGAAAAAACTTCAGAAGCCGTTCTCTGAAATCGTTTTCCCTCCAGCTGTTTTGGCAACACGGGATGATTCTCCTCCTGCCACTAGCTTAAGAGAATTCTGAACGGGAATTCCACTTTGTAACAATCGGCTGGAGCTGATGAATTGTCACAATTTGCGCTCAAGATTTTATTCCACAGTGTAAATATTTTTTTTCGGCGTCGAGTTTTTTACGGTCTCGTTTGTATTTTTCTCTTTTTTCTCCACCACACTTGTACACCACTTTGGTTCGCTCCATCAGCAGAAATTATGATCTGCAAAAACTTGCCGATGAATTGCATTCATTTTAAAATAATCGATTCTCGATCACGCAACCATTAACATGTAGGAATCGATTATAAAAGATGGATCTGGACAGCATTGCACGCCCGCCCAGGAAACGTGCAAACATTGGGTCAACGTTGACATATGGTTTAAACCGTTGGACCAACGTTATCCTAACGTTATCCTAACATAAGCCCAACATTCTATGTTTACTGGGTACTGGGGCAGACATCGTCAAGATAAAAAAAAAACATTTCTTGGCCTTTTTTGGCCTTTTTTAGTGCAGGGGAGGGTGGTGGGGGGTTACGCCTTTAATTAAAACTCCACCAAACAGCTCGGCCTTCGCCTTCATATAGACACTCGGACCGGCGCAGAGGTGCGTACTCACAGATGATGTAGTAGTCCCTGCCCCGCTGGAACTCCAGGCCCAGGACGCTCGGGCTGAACTCCTGGAACTTGATGGTGTACTTGACGTCGCGGTCGGGCCGGTTGCAGGTGAGCAGCGGGTTCTTGCGGCGGGTCGTGTCGCACGACTCCGCTTCCGACTGCGTCACCATGTACAGCTTGTACTGGTAGGTCTCCGTCGCAGCCCCGGAGGAGGAGGGCGAGCCGAATCCCGTACCTCCTCCTCCCGGAGGGCCTCCATCGCCGATGCGGGGACACACGATGTCAAGCTTGTCGCCAATTTGTGGGTGGACGACCAAGCCGCCACGTCCTGGCTGGAATCTGTTTGCGGTGGGTGGGGAGGGGGGAGGGGGAATTGAAAACCGCACAGCAACAACAAAGTGACGGTGAGGATACGGCATGGTTGGCTCCGTACGGTGCGAAAGAAGTCCAACATACATGCATGGTTGGTTTGAAACTACTGCAAATTAGTGCCCTGGTTTAATCCCAAAATTAAACGAAATTGCAAACATTTTATTTTGGCTTTGCGGAAATTGAAGGTTATTAATATGTGATTATATATATACGAACACACAATATATTTAATGTACTGAGGCACTTATCAACAAATATCACTAATACCCATTAACGATTTTTTTTTCTTTCATAGGATGACATTTTTTTGGTTTGGCAAGCTCAGATTAACTTCATCTTAATTTAAAACATCACAATTACAGTACAATTTGGATTATATACCATTAACCTAAATGCACTCCATTAAAAGCCACTACGACGCAGCCACATCATTTCAATCTGCCTGTGCATACAGTATAATGGGCCAACTTCCAAACATGCATTTTCACACAAATCACAAAAATAACGCATTCATCGCAAACACCGCCCGTCTAAACACAAACTCTATTTCCCACTGATATGGTTCATCTTTAAAACATCTACGTCTCGTAAGTGAAAAGGCCAATCGTTTATTTCGCTATTTGAGTATGTTTTAGCCCAACTGGCCAGGATTGGGCAACGACACAGCCCCTGCTACAACCGAGAGCACAAACTACAGATACAATCTTCACTTATCGCTGCTACGACAACAATTCATAATGTGCAATGAAATAAATAATAACAAATATACGAATTAGGAAGAAACGAAGAATCGATTTTTAACGGGTTATTTTTCAAGGCATCAGTTTATTAAACCGCGGTCTGGCACGAAGTAGTGGTCAGGAGAGAATATTGTGAGTTGCCGTGATCTGCGGTTGTGTGGCACTGCCAACAAATTACCCTCCGTGTATTTCCGTACAAATTATTGCGGTCGCTGAAGAAACACCAAACACGGTCGCGCGTTTGCCACCTTTTCTTGAGGGTCGTGGGGGGGGGGCAATGGGGAGGAGGGCAGACTAAGAAAGCAAAGATGCCCTCAAGCCAGAGCAGTCGCCTGCTTTCGATTCGTCTTGCTTATCCGATCTACCCTCAGGGTGATACATAAAGGCATATGTGAGTAGATATATGCCAAGAGAGTTTAGTGTCTCCACTACGCAACCCCCCTGCCCCCCCCCCCCAGCGGCAGCAATCGTCAAGTTACGGTGAAATGCAAATGGATTTGTTGTGAAACTGTGGGCTAAGCCATGTTCAGTCCTCCATCGCCTACGTTGCATTTACGGCATTTTCGTCTCGCAGCTGGCGGCTCTGTCACACCTCCTGTTAGCTACTATCACTGCTGATAATGTGTCCCTTTATAATTCTTATTGTTATAATCGTCAGCCCACCCATTGTTGGACGAAGGCTTTTTCCATGCTCACGCAGTGTCAGTCACACCTGTTGTTTGAGGCCCTCTTAGCAATGCTGATCAGCGTGGGTCAGCGTGGGTCAGCGTGGGTCAGTGTGGGACAGTGTGGGTCAGTGTGGGTCATTGTAGGTCAGTGTGGGTCAGTGTGGGTCATCGTGGGTCATCGTGGGTCAGTGTGGGTCAGCGTGGGTCGGTGTAGGTCGGCGTGGGTCAGTGTGGGTCAGCGTGGGTCAGCATGGGTCAGTGTGGGTCGGCGTGGGTCGGCGTGGGTCATCATGGGTCATCGTGAGTCGTGGGTCAGCGTGGGTCAATGTGGGTCATTGTTGATCAGTGTGGGTCAGTGTGGGTCATTGTTGATCAGTGTGGGTCAGTGTGGGTCAGTCTGGGTCAGCGTGGGTCAGTGTGGGTCAGCGTGGGTCAGCGTGGGTCAGTGTGGGTCATCGTGGGTCAGTCTGGATCAGTGTGGGTCAGTCTGGGTCGGTGTGGGTCATCGTGGGTCAGCGTTGGTCAGTGTGGGTCAGTCTGGGTCAGTGTGGGTCAGTCTGGGTCGGCGTGGGTCGGCGTGGGTCAGCGTGGGTCATCGTGGGTCAGTCTGGGTCAGTGTGGGTCAGTCTGGGTCAGTCTGGGTCGGTGTGGGTCATCGTGGGTCAGCGTAGGTCAGTGTGGGTCAGTCAGGGTCAGTGTGGGTCAGTCTGGGTCAGTGTGGGTCAGCGTGGGTCATCGTGGGTCAGCGTAGGTCAGTGTGGGTCAGCGTGGGTCAGTCTGGGTCGGTGTGGGTCATCGTGGGTCAGCGTGGGTCAGCGTGGGTCAGTGTGGGTCATCGTGGGTCAGTCTGGGTCAGCGTGGGTCAGCGTGGGTCAGCGTGGGTCGGGTCAGTCTGGGTCGGCGTGGCAGTGGGCAGGAGGACCGCTTCAGCGACCATTGGCCACTCATTTTAGCCGTGATCAAACTCAGATGTCTGGGCTCGTAGCAACGACTGCGATGCACGAACTGCCGCGCCACCACTCCCCCAATGTCTCTTCTTTTGTGGCGAGGAGGAAATCCTCATCGAGTCTCCATATTTAAAAAAAAGCACGCAGCTTTGTAGGCCCTGAAATCCCCCAACACTTGCATCGACGGTCCTCATCAGTGCTGAGAGACAGAGTGAGAATATAGAGCCATAAAATGTGCTTATCTTGCCAGCATTAGCGGGCGGTCTTAGTTTCGTCTATTTAGTGACATCCTTACTGAAAGCCCGTCCAATACACACGTGTGTAACACCCCATCAGCTGCTAATAGCGGCTTATTTCCTTCCAAACACTCTCAAGAGTCCCTGGAAATTACTGACATCGAGTCCCAAGCCCTCATTCACAGTAACAACCTCTCCAGCACAGGCATGTCTTGTTAAGCTCCAAGGTAACAGCTTGGGAGTGTGTGAGTGTGGTGCGAGCGTGTGCATCGGTGTACGTGAGTGTGTGCGTCAGTGTACGTGAGAGTGTGCCTCGGTGTACGTGAGTGAGTGTGTGCCTCGGTGTACGCGAGTGGTGTGTGTGTGTTGGTGGGTCTCACCTAGGGGTGAACTCATCCTTAAATGAAATCCTGTTGCGGTGTGCCAACATCAGCACTGGGCTTAGCGTCGTGTCGGACACTGAACACCCACACCCATCGTGTGCCGTGCCGGCCATCATGGGTGCTCGCTAACAGCACTTGCCCCAAAGTATGTTAAGGCTACACGGGGCGGGGGGTCTTTGTCTTTGTCTATAAATTACGTGCATTAGACAGACGAGGAACCTAAAACGCTGAGCAGCCAACTGAAGGCAGCCTCGCCAGCCGAATGTGAGGTTACCAACCCTTGAATAACACCGTTAACACTGCACATTGCCATTGGGTTTGCTAAGACGGAACAAAATAGTTCACTAGAGTCATCGTTTGCGCCAAGTCAACACGAGCAATAATATACAGACCTCCCCACACCGTGTCAGTGATTGGGAGTTGTTTGACGATACTTCGCCACGCTGGTCATTGTCGGTTGGCGAAGCCAGGGACACCAAGACTGCTTTGTAAAATGACTCGCCACTGAATTTTGCTGTGGCCGTGAAACGAATTCAGATCGCCGGGTTCATCATAGCACGGTGCGCTAACCACTGCGCCACTGCTCCCCATAGCACACTGCAGTACAACTGAAAAATGTACACGGCGCGGTGTTATATACGAGGCCAACGTTTTGGACAATCGCTGATATTTCAGCGAGCATGTAGACAATAATAATCAAGCATTAATATTTAATTTCGGAAAACAATTCCAATGCACTTAATATTCATGGGGTGGGTGGATTTAATTTGACAGATAAATATCTGCACATGACTGCTTGCTCCATCCAAGCTAATAGTGTGTGCGGAGATGGTGGTTTCTTTATTTTCTGCTTCATCCTCTGCACTCAAACACGCATGGTGATTATAGCTTAGAGGGTTCTACTTGGTAAAATAGAAAAAATTCAAATTGTATTTGTTATTTTTTTGATTTACTTACCTTTCCTATACTTTGCACTCATATCGTGTTTTTTCATAGTTTTTTTTTACTTTCTGACCAGCCTCTCACTGGACATCTGTCAAAAAGTGCTTCATTGCTCATCGAATTCCTCCAGCATAAATAAAGATTCTGGTTCTGTTAACAAACTCCGTTTCGTCCACGTAAATCACAACGGCCCTCGGTCCGTGTGGCCAGAACTTGTCTTGACACGGTCAATCACACGCAGGGCTCACACACACACACAGCCACCAGTGTATATCGCCACTTAGCATATCAATCCGCCCCAGGAAAACGTGCCCCGCTGGTTTGGACATATGGACTAAAAAACGATACAGCCACACACACACACAGTGTAAAGCAAGCTCTGCTGGGGCATACAGTACAGCTCTTTAAGAAAATACCAAAAAAATAAAGAATGTTTAAATTAAAAGCTCCACTAAGAGGAAGAATACGGGGGTGGTAGAACCCATGGTCACTAGGCCAGGGGGCAACAGGTCACAGTCACCCGCCCCGGCCCGCGCTTTGAAGGGAAAATGAGTGAAATGCTTTGGCCGCCGCATTGCCTTTGATATTGTAATCGCCGGCCTGATCTGCATTTTACGCGAAAGGGGGTGAGAGGTGCAGAGGTGGCGAGGCGATTTGAGAGAGAGCAGAGCGAGAGGCAGGCAGGCAGACAGATAGACACGGGGAGGGGGGGGGCAGTGGAATGAACGGAGGGAGTGTAGAAGCACATAGAGGCGAGGTGGGGGGTGAGGGGTGTGAAGAAGCACAGAGACAACACCGCAGATGGAGACCGGGGGCGAGAGGAGAGGGAGGGAGGGAGGGACAACGCGGGAACACGAAGCAGATGGAGACGGATGGAGCGACGGGGATGCGAAACGAAGGACGGCAGGAGAGCGGGAGACGATGGGAGGCACTGCTGGGGAACGGGGCGAGAGAGCGATGGGCAGGGAGAGGGGCGAGTGCCAGGAGATGATGTAGGACGGGTAGAGGAGATGCTGAGGCAGGGTTCGCACGCTGTTACATTTTGAGCTGA